CACCCGAAGCTCTTAATTATAGGAAATATTCAACAGCCAGTGATGTATGGAGCTATGGATGTCTAATGTATGAGATATGGAGCATTGGACGCAAACCTTATGAGAGTGACAGTAACATATCTGTAAGTAATGAACATCATTGATACTACATGTATCATGTACTGTTGTTAATAGGCAATGGAAAAGATCTGCTCTAGTGAGAGGTTACCTCCTCCTCCTGGTTGTCCTGAAGCAATATACAGTCTTATGATATCTTGCTGGTATGCATCACTGGATACTAGTGTAACTGTATATTGTGTTTAATACTAGGCATCCGGTAGCTAGTGAGCGTCCAAACTTTCATAAGATCATGGTATCACTCCTTCAACCAAACAAGAATATACTGACAATACCAGAGTCTGCTTTATCGTCTCATCCTCAGGCTGGGTCTCTTGGAGGTACTCTCAAAGCTGGAGAGAACATGTATCCAGAAATACAGAACTGCTACTCTGATACAATAGACACTGCTTTATGAATAATATCTGTTTGAATATTCATTATTCATATAATGCATTATTCTTATGAGATTTAAGTTGTTTATAAAGCTTCTTTTTTCTATTTTGTAATGTAGTCTAGATCTATGACTCTTTATTTTTCTATTATGCATACTTTTCCTCCAATGACAATTCAATTGAGTGTACTCAAATAGAATTTTATTTTGTGGTTGGCAAATGAATTACGAGGCACAGATCTATGAATAGACTAGAATAACAAATTCACGCGACACGCCCTTAAGTTCAAGATGAGCCCAAAAACTCTGCTCTTTCTCTTCTGTGTGATTACACTTACAAGTAGGTGCTGGATCTAAGCATTATTTTTTACTGATCTATAGGTGGACAGTCTTGTCTAGTTGGAGACACTTATAGTACCAGGATTTTAAGGGGTTTTTACAGCAATAGTAATGTGCAGGGAAAATGGTTTCTCAATTTGAATGTATCTGCGAATTGTTCAGGTGCAATAAACAACTACACTGTTCAATACTTCGGTAATTTAAATTCTGAAACTAGTTATGATCTGACAATAGCAATATGGAAACCATTAGCACTAGTGGGTTCATTTGAAAAGGTAGGAAATTATCTAGATCATGTCAAAGATACTTAAAATACTAATTTTTATCATTCTGAATTAGGATTCTACTACAGTACAATATTACACTTATCCAACAAGCAGTGAGTTTCAAAATTTAATTCAATTAATTTTCATGAATCTTAGAGCGAAGAAAAAGAGACACTCTACAACTTCCAAACTTTGGTCCACTTGGAATACGTAAAGGAAGTGTTGTTGGTGTATATTTAGATGATAGCAATCCACTACGAGTCATAGGACAACGACCAGAATGGGTAGGAGCTATTTACAATGGAGTGCCAATTGGGGCCTGTGCTAGTGACTCTCCACTCTCTGCTACAATATTAAATTGTAATGAAAGCAATTTTCAACAGTTCACATCAATTCACATTGAGTTATATGTTGGTAAGTTAAAATATATATTCTGATAGAAAATTTCTGGTAAATTTTTACAGATACAGTTGAATGTGGCACTCCACCTATAAGAAATCATTCTATGCTCAGTATGCTGGATGGTGATACTGAATATGGGGCTCAAGTTCAATATACTTGCAATTCCGGATACAATAACACTGCTGGAGCTGATACAATTTCTTGTCAGTTAAATGGAACTTGGTCTTCTTTACCAATCCCGTTTTGCACTCCAGTTAATTGTACTGATCCTGGTACACCTACCAATGGAACTAGAAATGGAATGGATTTCTTTTACAATTCAACAGTTTCTTACAGTTGCAATACTGGATACAATTTAACAGGAGCTGCCTCTATTACTTGTAATGCTACTGGCCTGTGGAGTGCACCACTACCTTCCTGTCCTCCAGTTAATTGTGGTGATCCTGGTACACCTGATGGTGGAAGCAAAAGCAGCAGTGTATATACTTATAACTCAGTTGTCTCTTTCCAGTGTAATTCTGGATACTTCTTATCTGGATCAGTCTCTCTCATTTGTCTCTCTGATAGTTCATGGAATGGATCAGTTCCTTCATGTTTAGCTGGTTGTGGTGATCCTGGAGTACCTGAGAATGGACAACGTCAGAGTGACATTTTTTCTATTGATTCTGCAGTTTCTTTTACCTGTGATACTGGCTATACATTAACTGGCTCAAATTCTCTTCTTTGTTTAGCTGGAGGCTCATGGAATGACACAGCACCTACTTGTAATCCAGTTAATTGTGGTGATCCTGGTACTCTTACTAATGGAACTAGAAATGGAACAGTTTTTACTTTCAATTCTACAGTATTGTATTCATGTGATACTGGATATACTATAACAGGAGCCACCTCTCTCACTTGTCTATCCAATGGTTTATGGGATGCATCAGTTCCTTCATGTGATATTGTTAATTGTAGTAATCCAGGTGAACCTACTAATGGGATGCTTCAAGGAGGAACTTTTACATACAATTCAGTAGTAACTTACAATTGTTCTGTTGGGTATAGTTTAACAGGAACCACCTCACTTACTTGTTTAGCTGATGGTACATGGAATACATCAGTACCTTCCTGTCCTCCAGTTAATTGTGGTGATCCTGGTACACCTACTAATGGCAGCAGTAATGGCAGTGTATATACTTATAACTCAGTAGTATCTTATCAGTGTATTAGTGGATACTCTATATCAGGAGCTGATACTCTGTCATGCTTATCTACTGGTTCATGGAATGGTTCAGTTCCTTATTGTTATCCTGACTGTACTGATCCTGGTGATCCCTCTAATGGACAAAGAACTGGTGATACTTTTAACTACAATTCAGTTTTATCATACACTTGTAACACTGGGTACAATCTAACAGGAGAAAGCTCAATTACCTGCCTATCTAATGGTTCATGGAGTAATATGATACCTTCTTGTATTATAGTTAACTGTAGTGATCCAGGTACACCCACTAATGGAGAAAGGTTTGGGGATGTATTCACATATGGAGCTGAGGTGGTTTATAGCTGTAGTGAAGAGTATAGTATTGTTGGTGCTCAGGTTATTACTTGTC